GGGGACCGTCTGTATATTCTACTGAATAAAAACTCTGGAATCTAAAACGGGAAATAGCTACTCTCTGTCAATGCCTGCCTGACGTTTCTAATCCTACTTCAAAACCAAGTACAGATGTCACTCTCCTTCTCTTTACCACCTCTCCCAGATTGTAATCTTTAATTGCCTTCTCAAGACTCCCACAATCCTACTTACACAATGCATTTTAGTTAAGTATCTATACATCTCTCTCCCCACTAAGATACTAATTTCTTGGCACTAGAGACTTCATCATAATTTACCTCTTAATGCTAGGGAACACATTCAATAAATGAAGAGTAAATGCATAAATTAAAAGGGAAAACCTCAATATTTGAGACTAACTGAAAGAATAGCTCATATGATGGCTTATAAAACAGTTTTAAAGATGCAATTTTATTACTATCACATATCTAAAATAATCAACTATGCAGTAACAAAGTATTTTCCAGCATACGTTCTTCTACTTAAAACAAGAAAATCATTTGAAACTGGCACATATACAACCCTACTTACAAATTAACAATTCAGTAGCATATAAAGTTATAAAGATGGGCAGACAGTGAATATTTGAAATCACTCGTTTATGTTATGTTTGAGTTTTTAACAATAAGCATATATACCTTTGGTAATCATTAAAAAATTTTAAAGTTACTTAACAATTCCATAAAGGAAACAAAAGATGGATTATCACTGCCTCTTAAAAGTTAAAAATAATTATTTATCCTAAGCACCTTTGGAACATGCTTCTGTGTCTGATTGACCAAAAATGAAAATAATGCCCTAAATGAAAACAAATACTGAAAGGGAAGACTAAAATGAACTCCCCTCCCTTTACCCTGTACTGCTCCCTTCACAAACGTCTTTTCTTCCCCCACTAAATAAGCAGATAGCAGCTAAAGATTTTCAATTTTACAATGCTATTCCTGTTAACCTGTTAAATTTTTCCTTAGAAAATAAATTTATCCAAAATCAAGAGAAAAGGACAATAGGGAAAAAAAGAAAAATATTCCTCTAATTTTCTTAAGGAAGTAAAACTGCATTTAAACCATCACAATACTCCACTTTTTAAAAGTTTGTAATAGTTGTATGGGTTTTTTTTTTTTTTCTCCTTTTCTGTCCTTTACAATCCAGGCAATAATTTAACAGATGGAGAAAAACACAAGTATTAACTGAGATCTTTTCAACACAGAGATCAATCTCATGTTGGTAATGGTGTAGGAAAAGAAAAGAGAAGGAAAAAAAGAAAGAGTAAACCCCAAAATGTAACTCAGCAAAATGTATTCTTTGGGCATTTGGTATTTGGCAGCTTTGTTAAGCAGCTAGACAATTTCAGAAAAACAAGTGTTTCCCAAAAAAGATGCTCAGATTCCTAAATACAATTTTCAAATATCCTCTATCTTCAGAAGCAATTCTGTGAAGTAGGTAGGGCAGGCATTATGCTCCCTATAGAAAACTAAACAGAGTTCAGTCACTGTTTAAAATGGGCAATAATTTCTACTCTACTCCTTCACTATAAATTCATAAAGATAGAGCTAGAGGCCGGGTGCCGTGGCTCACGCCTGTAATCCCAGCACTTTAGGAGGCTGAGGCGGGCGGATCACGAGGTCAAGAGATCGAGACCATCCTGGCCAACATGGTGAAACCCCGTCTTTACTGAAAAGTACAAAAAATTAGCCGAGCGTGGTGGTGCATGCCTGTAATCCCAGCTACTCGGAAGGCTGAGGCCGGAGAATTGCTTTAAACTGGAAAACGGAAGTTGCCGTGAGCGGGGATCGCCCCTCTGCACTCGAGCCTGGCGATAGAGCAAGATTCTGTCTCAAAAAAAAAAAAAAAAAAAGACAGAGCTAGAATTGACTTCAGTGTTCCTTTTACAGTTAATTTTCCCCATTTTACAGATGAGGAAAAGTAAAGCTCAAAAAAGTCAAATTACCTACCCAATGTTAGAGAACTCTCAGTGACTGAAGATTGGAATGCAAGTCTCTTAACTTCTGGCCCAATGCTCTTAATCCCACCACAAAACCTGCCATGCTAGAACCTTTAAAAATGTTACAAATCTCCACATAAGTGAGTGACATTATTAGCCCTGGAAAAAGGAAGCCATATATTTAAAATAAAATTTTAAAAAAAGGAATTAAGCAACAAGTAAATTTAAATGTAAAACTACCAATCACCTTCGTGTCTTTTGCCTAAAATTTGCTTTTATGTGTTATTACATCCTTCATCAAACTACAAGTTCCCTAAAATTCCCATAAATTGTAAATATTAAGATCTCAAAAATTTTTGACTGATGAAATTAAAAAAAAATTCTTCAGTAATCATGCTCCAACTCCCCTAATAGGCGTCAAAGCATATTATTGACAATAGTAAGTTATTTTACTTAACTATTTTTCATTGTATACATTCACTAAAATATCATTTCCACCATATACTTCCAATTGAAACAGAGTAATTAGACCTGGTAGACAATCTACTGCACTTGCATTAATGAAAATGTGGTAACTGATTGGCAGACGTGTTATAAGGTGGATTTTTTTTTTTTTTTTTTAGGACTAGAAGAGGTTGAGATTGAAAAGATTATGTGGTTTATAATGCAGTAAGAATGCAGACAGCATGAACCTAATAAACACATGGTGAACAGATCTTACTCACTTCTTTGGCAAGATATCTGAACAAATGTTTCAGTCCCTAGCCAGCTGGGAAGATATGCCAGATTCACTGACAATTCTATAGGGTGAAAGATCCAAAATCTTATCTGATCCATTTACATGCAAAATTACATAAAGGGAGCAAACCCAAGACTATTATTATTAAAACCAGAGCACACAGGTTTTGAGACAGAGGAGGCAAATCATTCATTCATTTCAACATGGCCTAACTAAAGATGTCTAGTATCAAATAAGGCCCTAAATACTCCAGTATTTCAAAAATTACACCGTCGTTGCCCAGAGAAAACTCACACTCAAGCAAGGTAGGCAACGCATTTCTTAAGAATTTACAAATATAAGGCAAGTGCTAAAATATAACATTTCAATAAATCAAAATATAATAACGATCACATTCAACTCAGTTTAACTTTCACTAGTTCAATAATGCTAGAGCCTGAAGCTTCTCAAAACAGGAAGTGATAAAAACAGTGCTTTTGAGAAAAGGCAGTGAACTGGAATTATAAGAGTTCAAATGCCCAGAATTTCATTTGATCTTATTTATGAAGGTGGAATATTAAAGTTTGATTGCATTTATCCTATAAAAATGTTTAATGAATGCTTAGAAAAGGTATTTTGCCCAATTACCCAAATCACTTTTGATGTTACTCTCACTTCCTCTTTTAGAAACCATCATAACCATTTCCTTTAAACCACAATACCACAGGTCTAGTTAACTTTTATAATGTTTGACTTGCTCGTTTTTTTGGACAAAATTCATATAGGAATCAATTTCGAAGTTTTTTAAGCAGCATAATCTCCCCAAACAACTCAGATCAATGCAACCTCTAAGTAATACTACTTAAGACTGAATTATTCCCAACCTATATAAATTTATAACCAAGGCTCCTTCGTAAATGCAGAGGGGCTGCTTTGTCATGACACTGAGCTCCTGCCACATAAAATGTAACAAACTGAATAAGCACGCTGCAGTTACTCTCCAGATTGCACTTTAGAGTAAGCAATCCTTTCAATCAGGTGAGCAACTAGATTTTTGTCCTTATCCAAAATTTATCATCATTAAACCAGGACACTCTTTAGAATTACAATGTCTACATCAAATTGTAAAAGTAAATCAATTTTACACTCAAACTCTTGGATATGGATTTCAAAAAATATATATATATTTCTTCAGAAGCCCTCTCAACCTACAATCTATTGCTATGATTAAACCAAAAGGTAACATTCTCGGTATATTAAAAAGCCACAAATATAGCTATGAAGACATGACATCAAAGACACATTATAAACTCAAGGGATCCAAAAATCTCTTTTTCTCTTTATCGGTTTGTTTAAAACTTACCAACCTTGCCTTAAGAAAAAAGACATTTTGTTGTTTTGTCCCAGGATAATGAACGTAATATTTGTTCTATCTTTACATGGACTTTTCTAAACTTCCAGTGCAGTCTTCCACTCCTTACTGTACTGAGGACATGTAAAGGCCTTTCAATGAGCCTATTAGCTATAGCAGCTCAAATTATCAGACTATGCTATAAATCAGCAGTAATAGCAACATTTTTGCGTTTTGCGGTTTTTATTTTGTACAGACACTAAACTTTAAGAAATGGTACTGGAAAATCTAATATGAGGAGGAGAGCACAGGGGAAAGCACAGAAGGTTGTTTTTCCAGTTCTAGTGACTCACAGCCTAGAAGTATTTCAGAAAATTGGTTCCACCCTCACTTCTCCCTCCTCTCCACCTTCAAAATGAAATAATCTCAAATCGTCAACATATTCTCAATAGCTATTTAGCAATCTAAAGCGGCAAAGTGGAGGGGATACGAGATTCAACCAATCAGCCCTTCCCTACCCACATTCCCACACCAAAAAATTGGGATATGGGGTGTAATCCCTGTTCACTGCTGCCATCTCCGCCAGAATATGGAACACTCAAGTTTTCCTACCCACCTAGAATTTCGCCCACCCGCCACCCTCCCTTTCCTATGGGTCCCGTCCTGGGGGCTGGGGCGCCGAGGAAGGGGCAACTCCCGGCTCACAGCGGCGCCCCCACCCAGTGCTGGGCCCAGCGCTGGATCCCGCCGCTGGGAGCCGGGAAATGGCTTCTCTGCCTTCGGCCGGCCGGCGAACCAGGAGAGGCGCCCGGGACTCCGTATTAGGCCGCGGTGCATCCAGGCGACCCCAGGTCAGGCCTGGAGCAGCGACGCCAAGATTTCTGCACCCGGCGCCGCCGGCCGCCCCCCAAGCCCAAGGCCTCCCTTGCTCTCCATCCCTCCCGGGCCCGCCCGCCCCCGCCGCGGCCTCCCCGGCCCGTGCGCACCTTCTTAATGTTGTAGAGGCGGGTGAGCATGCCGACGCCCCGGTCGTTGAGGATGGTGAGCTTCTCCGCCAGCTTCTGCTGACTGGGCTGCAGCACTGAGCGCGACATGGTGGTGCCGCCGCCGCCGCCGGCCGCCTGGCGCCCAGTCACCGGCCCGCGGCCTCCGCAGCAGCCTCTCACGGGCCTCCTCCCCTCCCGCCAGGGACCTCCGCCTTAGGAGAGCGCGCCCATGGCCCTTGCGCCCCAATCCCGCGCCGGCGACAGAGCGAACCGAGACGGACGCCTCGGAGCCCCTTCCCCGCAGCAGCTCGCGCCCCGGCAGCCTCCTGCCTTCCGCCCGCCGCCCTTCCGCCCCTACCCCCGGCGCTCTCCGCCCCAGCCCCCAACGAGCCGCCTTCCCCGGCTCCTCCACTAGGTGTGGCGGCGGCGGCGGCGTCTCCGGCGGCTGAGAACGAGGCGGCTTCCCGCAGCCCAGGACGGGCGCTCGGTCACCTGATCGGCGGCGCCGGCGCCCCCGCGAGGCCGGATGGGAAACTGCGGCCTGCGAGCCCTGCGCCCGGCCTAGCGGCCGCGGGCCTAGCGGCCGCGGGCCTGGCTCTGCCTGGGCGGGACAGCCCTCTACGCCTGACGCCGGGATGGGAGTCCCAAGCGGGGACCTAGTGGGGTGGCGTTCTGTGCTCTTTCCACCTCGCCCCACACCCCTCTCCTTCAAGTTCCAGAAAGTTGCCTTTCCGCACCACCCTCCGAAAGAAACCGGCAGAAACTCTGCTGGGTGGCGGGATGTTTTCCAGGCGAGTTTCTCTTAGGAGTGGGCTGGTGGCTTCAAGCGCTTTTTCCTCCCACTGCTTGACAGGCGCTCCCGGCAGAACACAGCAGATGTGCTCCGCGAGGCGGGCATCGCCTCTGCCAGCCTCCCCAGCCCATCCTCAGTCTCCCCGCCTGGAGCCAGTTTATGAGAGAGGAGGTCGAAAGTGAGGGTAACTCATGTCCCTGAGATAATCACAATCTGGACTTTGTCTGCGAGGAGCACCCATCCGCTGGAGATGCTAATAGGTCCTGGCCTGTAGAAGGCAAAAAATAAATGTTTGTTTAATGCATGAAGGAACCGGTCCCATTTTTTTCCAGCATCCACCCTAAATCCCACCTCTTCTTGAAAACATTCTTTGCCACCTCATTTTTTTTTTTCCTGATCAATTTCTTCTTAGTGACACTCCAAGGTTACTCCCTTGTCAAATGTATTAGACACGATTCCAAAAGTGAACTAATCGAGGACTTATGTAATTGGGGTGAGAAACCAGCCAAAAGGACTCAGGCCTCTGATATTTTTGGCTTTGCCTTCTCTCGATATTGTTAATCTTTTGTATGATATTCATTAATTTTAAGTAGTGACACAATGTCCTGCCACATTCAATAAGACATTCGAAGAGTAATAAGCCATTATTGGACTGATCAAAACACTTTCGAAAAGGAAATTGTAATGAATAGCTTTAAAACGTTTGTAAAGCTACTATATCTACTATTTGTAAGGAAATCTTCATTTTAATATTCCAACAAGAAAGAAGGAGTGGACTGAATGAATTTAATTTAAGGGCCATTAAAAAGAGTCCTGTTCCCACCAAAAAAAGTTACAATCATACCTGCCAGTGTGCCTGAAATTCTACACAAAGCTGCAGTACCTTGAATGAATGCTTTGCACCTAAAGAGTCTTAAAAATACAAACATTTCAGAGAGATCACCTGTTGAGCTAATTATTAGTCATTAACTGGTCAAGGAATTTAATTTATCTGGTTACTTCTCAGCCTGATAGTTAACATTTTAATTTAGAGGAGGCAAAGTTTTGGGGCCTGGAATAGTAAGAGCAGACCTGAGAAGGTAAGGCTGCAAGGAGGGGTTTGGGGTAGCCACATAAGAAAATTTAAAGATGCTGAACATTGTGGGAAATATGTGCTCTTTTAGGGAAACTACTAGTAACTAATTCTAGATGCAGAATTAAAAAGTTCTACCAATAAAAGATTACCTCATTTTCTAGTTTTTAAAAACTGCTGTATAGGGAGAACAAGAAAATGGTACTCTACTATAAATCTGAACACAACTCTTACTCCTCAAGAAAAACTATCATGTTGCCATATGAACTTGAATACTTGTAGTTGCTTATAACTCAGAGAGTACCCAATAGGAGAACACTGTAGATAGTGGTCTCATTATTCAATATTTATTGTCGCTAATTATAGACATACTATCCCTAGACTGTAATGAAACACATCTATTTGAGTAAAAGAGATATGGTGTAGATGAATTACAAATTTGTCTTTCTCTACATTTTGCATTAAAAAGAATTTGTGATTAAGATCATATGTGTACGTGCATTTTTTTTTAACTTGTTAACTTTTTTGTCTCCCTCTGTTGTCCAGGCTGGTCTTCAACTCTTAGGCTCAAACTCCCTCACACTTATAACCCCCATACTTTGGAAGGCCAAGGCAAGAGGATCGTTTGAGGCCTGAAGTTCAAGACCAGCCTTGGCAATATAGGGAGACCCCCATATCTATAAAAAATTTAAAATTAGCCGAATGTGGTGGCATACCTGTGGTCCCAGCTACTCGGGAGGCTGAGATGGAAGAATCACTTGAGCCCAGAAGGTAGAGGCTGCAGTGACCTGTAAGCACAAGACTGTATTCCAGTCTTAGTGATAGAGCAAGACCCAAGAAGAAAGAGAAAGAAAGAAAGAAAGAAAGAAAGAAAGAAAGAAAGAAAGAAAGAAAGAAAGAAGAGAGAGAAACAGAGAGAAAGAGAGAGAAAGGAAAGAAAGAAAGAAAGAAAGAAAAGAAAGAAAGAGAAAGAAAGGGAGAAGAAAGAGGAGGAGGAAGAGGAGGAAGAAGGAAGGAAGGGAGGGAGGGAGGAATGAAGAAAAGAAGGAAGGAAGGAGAAAAGAAGAAGAAATAGAGGCCAGGCACAGTGGCTGACGCTTGTAATCCCAGCACTCTGGGAGGCTGAGGTGGGTGGATCACCTGAGTTTAGGAGTTGGAGACCAGACTGGCTAACATGGTGTAACCCATCCCTACTAAAAATACAGAAATTAGCCAGACGTGGTGGCACACACCTGTAATCCCAGCTACTCGGGAGGCTGAGGCAGGAGAATCACTTGAACCCACGAGGTAGAGGTTGCAGTGAACTGCGATCATACCACTGCACTCCAGCCTGGGTGACAAGAATAAGACTGTCTCAGATAAAAAAAGAAAAAAGAAATAGAATAAAGACTCATCATCCAGCCTCCCTTGCAGCTTATGTTCTGACCAGTAAGATATAAGCTGTCAGAAACCTTCCTAAAGAGACAGCTGCTGCTCCCCATTTGCCAGTTCTTCCTCACTTCCTTCATTCTGCCATACCTAGCAAGTATGCAGTGACCACTATCTTGGACCAAGAAGACAACAGCCACTCAGTAAGGATGACAAAACATAAAAATGGAAGGTATATGTGGACTTCTTAGAACACAGCAGCCATATCATACTTGGCCTGTCTAGACCTGGTTTTGTATGAAAGAGAAATAAACCTTTAGCTTCTTTTATTTGGGGTTTTTTATTACTTACAGCCAAATGTGATGCTCAATAATAAGTGTCTGTGGCCAACATTATAGTATCTCTAATAGGAATAAAATATGGGGTGATAACTAGATTTAATAGTTATTGTTTTTGCACTGTGTCAGATGTCATTACCATTTCCATTACATTTTCTCATTTACTTCTCTCAAAAACTTTTACAGATATTATCATCTTTAATTTTACAGATGAGAAAACCAAAATGCAGGTAGGTTTTTTTTTTTTTTTTTTATTTTTTATTTTTATTGCCAGAGATCACACTCATAGAAACTGGTAAAGCTGGTATTGGATCCCTTATCAGTCTGACTCCAAAGTTCTTTCATGCTCATAACTAATGTGACAGAATAGCTGGCTGATACTACATTTTCATGCATGCAGTGAACATGATTCTGTAGTCTCCTCTGAAGTCGTATAACCTTGCCCAAACCTTTATTAATAGGCCCTTCACTTAACTTCCTTCAATTCCCAGTTAGAGACTGCCATATTTTTACCTGACCAATACACCAGCTCTTTTAGGTGGCTTTCTTTAACTTTGCTTTCTCCAGAAACTAGCATGAGAATTATTTCTGTAATGCCTTTTGCTAATCATGAAGAATGTTTATGCTTTTTTTATTTTTTTAATCACTTGTCTGACCCAATCCACTGTTGCTTCTCTATATAAGGCAAGAAAGTGAGAAAAATTGATTAAGGGCATCTCTATGGGTTCTTAGGATAAAACCCTTTGATTAGGAGGTCTGCTATCAAAGGTAGTGTTCCACTTGATCTTAAAGACAAATGTTTTTCCTCCCATTAAACTTCTAACCAGATGTTACTACTTAAGTATGACTAGAAATATATGAACAAATTTCTCTTTGAAACAGCCTGAGAATTGAGAAGTAGACATAGTAATTTTGTCTGTCCTTCAACACGTCCTTTGGGAATCTGCTACCTTCTGACAAAATTGAATGCAGAAAGAGAAAGGGCTCAAGCTATGGGAAGAGTCAGACATAAGTGAATAACAAATTAATAGAACCTTTCAAGGAATTGACATTCTAAAAAATTGCTTAAAAGACTGCATTTGGTGAGGCCGTAATGCAAACAGAGGAACTAACTCTGAGTGAACAACAGTGGAAAAGGACAACAGATTTCCCTGTAGTTTAACAGTAATGCAAGTCCTGTTTTCCTGCCTGGCAAAGATCACAAGGTATGAAATTTATTCCCCAAAAAAGTGTTAGGAAAGAGAATGAGGAAAAGACAGAGTATGTTGGTATCTAGTAAATGAAGGAAGGAGTTAAGACTTAGCCAGAGACTGCAACTCAATATAGTGGAAGAGTAACTGAGACCGGCCTAAAGGAACATGAGATATCACCAGTAGTCAGTAGAAGAGATGCAGAAATACAGCTGATCTGAAAAGTTAAAAAATAATAATAATAAATAAAATTACACCCTTGATCTTGACCACTCACAACCAACTAGATTCATCTTATAGCCTGCCTAATCTTTGGTAATATAACTCACACATTTTTATTTGTGCCTGCTCTACAAAACTATAGATTTGCCAGGCGTGGTGGCTCACTCCTGTAATCCCAGCACTTTGGGAGGCCGAGGTGGGTGGATCACCTGAGGTCAGGAGTTCGAGACCAGCCTGACCAACATGGAGAAACCCCATCTTTTAAAATTAATTAATTAATTAATCAATTAATTTTAAAAAACTATAGATTTAGCTTTCCTTTTTTGTTTTTTCTTCTCATTTTAGAACTGTAGTAGGCTAGTCTTATGCATGAATAGTATATGATGGAATATATGTCAGTGAATACAAATATTGGTTGATTTTTTCAGGCTTATAATTTTTGAACCTTAAGATGCTACATGGAAAATAGGCAATATCAATGGCAGAACAAAATGAGTTAGAATACG